CTCCAGGTTGAGCTGTTGTTCAACATCTTAGCTGTGGAGGGCAGTGTCACTGGCCCTCATATGTGGGATCCAAACCGGGGCCCTCTGGAGTCCCAAGCCAGTTCTTAACCATTGCGCCACTCGGCCGGCCCATTGTTGGCTTTTTATACTTAATTTTTACAAGAATCCTGGAAATTCTGAAATTGCTTAAGTAGTCAGAAATTTCCTTCTCTCTCTAGATTGCATCATCTCATAGGAACAAACTTTTCCCCAAAAATGAATAGGGCCCACTCTGGTGTCTTTATTATAGTAGTCAGGCGAATCTGAGCATCTCTAGAGGGTGTGTGGGAATAGCGATTGGCATGTGAACAGCTTCCCAGAGGCAAGTTACTTCTATGCTGAGAACTGAAGAATTATGAGTTAGCTCAGAGAGGATAGCTTATGGAGAGAGAATAACAGCATATGTAAGGTCTACAAGAAGAGAAGGCATCCCCACCCTGGAGGAGCCAAAAGATATTTCGGGTGAATGGAACACAAGAGTGTAAAGAGAGGCAGAGAAAGGGTGGTTAATGAAGGGCCTTGTAAAGCATGACATGTCATTTAACCTTTATTCCTAAAGGAAATGGGGAATAATCAAAAGCTTTAATCTGGAAGAGTCACATGATTAGATTCACATTTTATGATTATCATTCAAATAACATACTATGTTTAATGGAAGAGTAAGATTATACATGGGGAGATCACAGTGATCTAGACTATGATAGATTGTAGGACTACTGGGGAGTAAATGGACTTGAGATTTCAGATGTAGAATCAATTTGCTCTGGTGGTAAGAAAGAGATGATGACAGTGGCTTTCCGATTTCTGATATGAGCAACTGTCAGTTTCATTCACTGAGGGTATACCAGAAAAGAGGTAGATTTTGTATGTGGTAGAGGGTAAGGGGTGTGTCTCTGTCTCTCTCTCTCTCTCTCCTATCGGCTCTGGAGAACTTTAATAAAATAACCAAACACAAGGAAGCAACCATAAGTGAGAATAGCAGAAATAAATAGCAGATTTAAACTCCCCAATGACTTCAGCTGCTGCATTAATTACCAAAAACAATATAAAATAACCATGTATGAAGTGTTTAAGGAAATAAAATATAGATGACAAGAAATAAGGCAGCAATAAGAAATTGAGAACAGCCAGGAAGGAATAGCTATAAAACTGACAGCAAACTTCTCAATACCAACAATGGACACCAGAAGACACTACAACATTATCATCTTAGTGCTGAAGGAAAAAACTGTCAACTTAATCAGCAAAACTACCAAGAGTGAGGGTAAAATAAAGACATTTTCAGATAAACACTGAGATTTTTCCCATCAACAGACTTAACCTAACGGAATTTTTAAAGTAGTGCTTATAAAGCTTGCAGTAATGTGCATATGAATCATTTGGTGATATTGTTAAAATGCATATTTTGATCTAATAAGTAGGCCACAACAGTCTACATTTCTTTTTATTTCTTTTTTTTTTTTTTAGATTTTTTATTGGAGAATTGGGGGGATGGGAACAGCGCTGGGGAATTGGGGGAAGGGAAACAGACAAGTTGCTGTCTTTTTGTTCTTCAGTCTAGTTGTGGAGGACGTTGCTTCACTGGCCCAAGTTGGCACCATCATTGCGCTCTTCCCAGGCGAGGCAGATCAGTCGCCAGCATCTGGACAGCCGCTCACTGCGGTTGCTGGCTGCTGGCTACATATGGTAGCCCATGGCAACCCAGTGCCACAGGGGCTGCAGCCTATGCCGTCGCCGGCGACTCACGGCAGCCCAGCTCCAGGTTGAGCTGTTGTTCAGCATCTTAGCTGTGGAGGGCAGTGTCACTGGCCCTCATATGTGGGATCCGAACCGGGGCCCTCTGGCATCCCAAACCAGCTCTCTACCATCGCGCCACTCGGCCGGCCCACAGTCTACATTTCTTAAATGTAGGTCCCTGAAAGTGTTTATTTGCTCAAAGTTCCCAGGTTATGTAATGTTGATGCTGCTAGTCTGTTGACTACCCTTAGAAGTAGCAAAATTCTGAAGCATATACTTCTAGGAAAAAAAAAAAATGGCCTCAGAGGGGAACTCTAAAACGCACGAAGGGAAGATAAAAGCAAAGATATAAAAAAAAAACAACTTTTTAAGGTAAAGCTAAACAATAATTTATATGAACTAAAAATACAATTTTGTGGGGCTTAAATAAAAAGAAAACAAAAATCCTGGATTAACAATAACACATGAGTCAAGAAAGAGTAATTAAAGTTGCTTAAGGGTCGTGTATAGTTTAGGAAAGAGATTAAGATATTAAATTCAGACTTTATTAAATTAAGTATATATGCTAAAATGTGAAGGGGAACTACTAAAATTATAAAGTATATTTTAACTTCTAAACCAGTAAGTGGGAGATAAGAAAAATAAGAAAGAATAATAAAAATAAATGAGAAAAACAATAGGACAAATAAGGGGAAAACAAGGTAGAAACAAATTTTAAAATATCCACACCCACAAGAAATGTGAAGACTAGATTTGCCTGTCCCAAAATAGTGACTAACAGGATTTTTAAAAAAGCTAACATTTATGTAGTTCTTATGTGTTAATCGTTGTTAATGATTTGTGATTTGCATATATTAATTTATATTTTTTCACAATCTTTATAAAGTAGATAATTTGTTATTTGTTTTACAGAGGAGGAAATTCACCAGGCATGTAAAATAAATGTACTTAATAAGAGTCTCAAAGATGCATAAATCAAGAGTTGGTAGAACTATAGTGAAAACTTGACACAGTAAGTTAAACAGACCAAAAGTTAATAAAAATATGTAACAGCACAATGAACAGTCTTGACTTATTGGACATATATACAGGACTAAAACCCAATAATTAGAGAATATATATTTTTCTTAAACATCCAAAGAATATTTATAAAAGTTGACCATTTACTTGGCTATAAAGCAAGTCTCAATAAATTTTAAAGAATATGTATCATACAAACCATGTTCTCTGACCACAGGCAATTAAATTAGAAATAAACAACAATAACAAATGACCTTGAAAACTATGTATACTTCATAGATTTAAGAAACTGCTCCTAAATAACTTCAGGGTCAAAAAGAAACCATAATAAGAGAAAAATTAATGATAACTAAAACATCTATACTACCTTCCAAAATTTATCAGATGTAGCAAAAGTGGCACTTGAAGGGAAACATGTCATTAAATGTTTATATTAGAAAAAATGCTAACAAATTAATGAGCTAAGTGTTCAATTTAAGAAGTTAGGAAAAGAACAGAATGTAGATACACATTAACAAAATTAAGGATAAAGCATATGATCATCTCAATAGAAGCCAAAAAACATTTGATAAAATTCAACATCCATTTATGATTAAAACACAACAATGTGGGTATAGAGGGAACGTACCTCAACATAATAAAGGCCATATATGACAAGCTCACAGCTAACATCGTACTCAACAATGAAAATGAAAGCTTTTCCTCTAAGATCAGGAACAAGACAAAGATGCCCACTCTCACCACTTTTATTCAACATAATATTGGAAGTCTAAACAAGAGCATATAAGCAAGAAAAATAAAAGGCAACCAAATCGGAAAGGAAGGAGTAAAACTGTCATTATTTGCAGATGGCATATATAGAAAACCTGAAAGACTCCACAGAAAGGAAATAAAAAAACTGCTTGAATAAATGAATTCAGTAAAGTTGACAGATATTAAAATCAGTATACAAAAATCTGTTACGTTTCTTCACACTGATAACGATCAAGAAGACAAATTGAGAAAACAATCCCATTTTCAGTTGCACCTAAGAGAATAAAATAGCTAGAAATAAATTTAAGGAGATGAAAGACCTGTAAACTATATGACATCGATAAAAAAAAACAATTGAAGACACAAATAAATGCAAAGATATTCCATGATCATGGATTGGAAGAATTAATACTGTTAAAAAAAAATCTGCCAGTAAAGGTTTCCCATGCTTATCGCTGAGCTGGGCAAGAGAAGGGTGGACAATAACACTGCAGTGCCTTACACCTCTTTAAAGAACACTGAGATGATTTTAGGATTGAATGGGAGGTAGTTTAATTTCCTATCTTTCCTTTCTGGGAAAAGTTCTGCCCCTGTGTAGTTTAGACTGCCATGTTGGAACCACATGACCCCACACCTGTGGCCACACTGCCTAATCTAAGAATACACCTGATCC